GGGGGGGGGGGGGGGGGGGGGGGGGGGGGGGGGGGGATGAAAAACCTTCCCTAGAAGAAAGAAGCAATAGCATTATTAGTCAACTCAAAAGTTGGCGAAGCCCTCTCTTGGAAGTACCTTTATTTTTTTTTGGGAACAAGATCGACATAATTTTTAGATAACCTACCTCCCTATAGATATTTGAGAATTTCAACTTTTACCATGAAAACATTCTAGTTGTATAGTTTCATTCTTTAAGAATTACTTCAATGACTTTGATTTCTTTGTTCCATCTTGTCATCAATCAGTACTGGGTCGGTTGGTGAGTCAACAAAGTAAAAAATGAAGAGAAGATGATATGGAATACCAATTTTTAATCTAGCATATGCAACAGCAGTGACTAGCGATATAGGTCGTTGGGCGGACTTCACACGCTTTAACAGAGTGGTTCCATTCTCCCACTGATTCCTATAATAATTAGAAACTTAAATTTCTTCCGATGCCTCAACTTTCCAACTAGAGTTATGTCTTCATCATCTAATTTTATTCAAGATAAGCGGAAATCAATGCGAATGAAAGTGTACACAAATTTGGTCACAAAATCGAGAGGAAATAGAGAGAGGTCAAGAGAAATGGAAGTGATATATGAAAATGATTCGGGTTTCGTCTTCTTATACGAGGGCCCATGGTTATTGATCAAAAGATGAATCCAACGGTCAAGATGAATTCCTACTTTATGTACATCTTAAATTTTGGGCTAAGTACCCTCAAGTCCAATTATAACACATCACTGTCCTAAAGGTTATTGGCAACAAAATACAACAGTATCTTAGAAGATTGGCACCCAACAATAGGAATATGTATATTCAATTAAACTACTTTGCCAGAATTATTTTGACATAATGGTTGACATTCTCTCATTACGCGTGGACGCTGCTAAATAAAAAAATCCAAAAAAGAAGTGGATCCCCCTCCCATTTTGAATGTCAGTCATCAATTAAGTCAACAAAATTCGGTCAACATAGGGAAAAATTTATTTCTAGTCCCATTGTGTGATCAGTTAAACTCTAGGTGAAGCAGAGGTTTGAGTTGGTGAGGCGACACGTCTCTTACCAAATATGGCCACTAAGAGAGCTAAAATATGAAGAATTACTAAGATTCATTTTGTTAAGTACTTATAAATTTACATTATTTACTTTTGCCCTCTTGAAATTATGTCTTTGACTCTAGGGACAAAATGTAGTCGCTAGGACACCTTCCAACACTACATATTCTCTTTGACTCGATGTTTCAAGAGTTATTGCAAACTTAAAAAGAATCTCAACCTAGGTCAAGAATAATTGTAAAATAAATAATAACAATTAAAAAATATGAGCATGTTTAGCTTTGCTTAAATCTACAAAAGAAACATGCTCTATATTCCCTCGCGCTAGAGGAAAGCAACACGGAGAAAATGGATAATTTGAAGAGTAAAGCAGTTTCCTAGATTGTATGATATGTCAATGGAAGATGATGAACCAGCCTTGATGTGTGATGTACGTAGACAATCCTATGTTTACATGGAAAGGCTTGTATATTGTGTTTTGTTCGTTTTCGCATTTACATTGTATCCCTTAAGCCTCGAAAACAATTTCTTCACTTTTACCACT